CATACTGCATGAGGCCCGTTGCCCCTTTCTTTTGGCTGATTTATCTCTTTTGGAATGGGAATGTTTACCTAATGGTACAGCACCATTGTATTTTGGAAGGAAATAACTTGTTTTTCATTTTATAGGCTCACAGCCTTATGGACATTACCTGCAAGTCTCAGATGAGACTTAGGACTTTGGGCTTTAGAGTTGATGCTGGAACACGTTAGGATTTTGGCGGGCTATTGGGAAGGGATGCTTGTATTTTGCAATGTGAGAAGGACATGAGATTTGGGGGGCCAAGGGGACCCTAACAGGACACATGGTTTCAATTTTTATCACATTATTTTATAAAACTACTCAGGGTTTATTTATTCATTTGTCTATTGCTTATCGAATAGACAATTATTAATGTGGCTTCATGATCCTAGGGAAACATTAGACACATAGCTTTGTTTCATGTCCACAAAGTGCTCAATTCTATTTTGAGTCAGGGACCCCCAGAATCTGCATTGCCCTAAAGCTTTTTTGTGATGTAGATGGCAGGTGAATTTCTTCAGCAGACTAAGGCTGTTGATCTGGAAGACAATTTAACATTGGGAAGTTGGGATGGATAAGATTTGCTGGCTTGCCTGGAAGGGTTTGCAAGGTTCAGTCCTGGGCCTGCTTAGGAGAGTGCTGCAGTTCAGGCCTGCATTTTCCCTCCGTTACCACTAGATGGAAGTGGTTTCTGCGATTTTTTTCCCCCAGTGTTGGAAGCAAGCATATCTGGGGAGCTGCATGCAGCAAGGCTTATTTCGGTGGAAGGCGCCTGTCCTGGTGTCTGCATTCTGCAAACAGCTGCTCTGCTGCTTTCCAGCTGGAGGTAGCTGCCCCCTGCAACCCAACACACAGGTCCATGCAGAGAACAGCGATCAGCCTTGTCCAGGCCTTGCTGCTTACCCAGTGCTGCCTATGCACGATTACATTCTGCCCTCACAGAACACCTCTGACATTGGTGTGGTGTCATGTACACTTTGCAGACCAGGAACTATTCAATGGTGCTCAGGCCCTGGGCCTGGCTGCAGTGCAGGACCCCCAGGGACATGGGCCACCTAAGCCAATGCAGGCAGGACTTGTCAGCAAGGACTCTTTTCCCATGGGAGTCGTGCAGAGCCTCTGTCTGTGGAGTGGGACCCCTGCCCTCTGCTGCCAGTTTCAGGCTCACTGCAATTTGTGGAGCCTGATTTTATCTGCTCCTCCAACCTCCAGCTCCCCTCCTGGCCACTAAATTACCTTCCCACCCGCTCATCATCTCTTCAGACTTTCCATCATCACCACCTCTCAGGTTTAACAAAGCTCTCTGGCCTCATGCCTGGCTTCCTGCTCCACTCACCGCATAGCTGTGCTCCTGGAGGGAAAGATAGCCCACCACACACAATTGATAAAGGGCAGGGCTGAGATTTCAACCCAGGGCCTCTAACCCCGATTCTCACACTCTCATATACCAACCACACCTCTCCTGTTCTGTCCACACCTAAAAATGCTGCTCTAGTGCCTCTGTAGAAAAGTTTCTAATCAACTGTCAGATCAGGCAGGAGTGGCATGTGCTGTGCCCACAGCAGACATGAGTAGCTGCTCACAGCGGTTGCTCTTCACCCTGCCTGGGGGAAGCCTCATCATCTTCATCATGCCCAAGAGTTTACTTGGATGTATTTGATGTGACATGATGTCACACTGACTGGTCATCCCTAGACTAAGGGTACTTCTCAACCTCAGAAGAATTCTCCTTGCTCCAAGTGTCCATCATCTGAAATCAATTTAATTACCTCTTAGAAAATGCTGTTTCTTGGGCAGGTGCAGTGGCATGCACACCTATAATCCCAGCACTTTGGGAGGCTGAGGTGGCTGGATCACCTGAGGTCAGGGGTTCGAGCCCAGCCTGACTAACATGGTGAAATCCTGTCTCTACTAACTACAAAAAAATGAGCCAGGTGTGGTGGCGGGCGCCTGTAATCCCAGCTACTTGGGAGGCTGAGGAAGGAGAAATGTTTGAACTCAGGAGGCGGAGCTTGCAGTGAGCTGAGATTGTGCCCATTGCACTCCAGCCTGGACGACAAGAGTGAAACCCCATCTCAAAAAAAAAAAAAGAAAGAAAACGCTGCTTCTATTAAATATGCTGCTAATGAGATCTTGGTCATGTAACACAAGCAGGCTTTTCTCTACCAGGAACATTCAGTAAACATCTGTTCTTAGTGCCTCCTATTGGGATGTTAGCCCATTTTAATTGACGACATTAGTAAATTCACACTCTAGACTTAGAGACAACAAGTCCAGCATACATGGGAGAAGGGACAAGTGTCAGAGCAGGAGTGCAGACAGGCGTCTGCCGGAAGCTCCTGGAAGGTTGAAGCAGGAGACACCAGGAGTCTTTGAAAGGAACAGGGCAGGGAGTCAAATCTTGCTTCCACATTTATAAGCCTATATAATAATCATATATAATCTCCTATAAATCCTATTGTTGCCAATACAAAGTTATGTAAGTCCTGCTATTGGTAAATTACATCCATATCCCGTAAGTTATTTAGATTTTAATGTGAACACTTGTGTTGTTTATTGTGATTTGTCTTTAGTCCCTGAATTGTACGTCCCGTCCCAGTCAGGCTGTGACTGTGATCTTCATCAGCCTTTCCTTCTTTCTCTTTTGCCTGTTTTACTTTTAATATAGACATCTTTAAACAGAAAACCAGAGAAAGTTGAAAAATGAACTTCCATGTGCCCATTACCAACTTCAACAACTCACAGCGATAGGAATCTTTCCAACCCACTGCCATCCTGGCTCCAGATTGTGCTGAAGTCATTCCCCAATAGCAGATCATTTGATCTGGAAATATTTTAGCAGCATATACTTGTTTTTTGTTTTTTGTTTTTTGAGATGGAGTTTCACTTTTGTTTCCCAGGCTGGAATTCAATGGCATGATCTCATATCACTGCAACCTCCACCTCACTGGTTCAAACAATTCTCCTGCCTCAGCCTCCCGAGTAGCTGTGACTACAGGTATGTGCCACCATGTCTGGCTAATTTTTCTATTTTTAGTAGAGACGGGATTATACCATGTTTGTCAGACTGGTCTCAAACTCCTGACCTCAGATGATCTACCCTCCTCGGCCTCCTACCAAAGTATTGGAATTACAGGCGTGAGCCACCACTCCCAGCCTTAGAATATACTTCTAAAAGATTAGTTCCAAAAAAAGAAAAAAAAAACCTTAGAATCACTCCAAAAAAATTAACCATTATTTCTTAATACCAGCTCATATCCGAACAGTGTTCAAATGTCTCTGAATGTCTCTTTTTTCCTCAGTTCTTTTTCAAATAAGCTTCAAAGAATGTCTGCCCATTGCAGCTGGTTGGTATGACTCCTACAGGTGTCTTGTAATCTATAGGTTTCCCTTGCATCTATCTTTTTTCCTGGAAATGAACTTGTGGAAAGAATGGGGTCATTCCTCCAGTAGTTTCCGAGAAATACGCACTGCTGATGGAATGCATCTGCCGTGGTGTCCATTAGTACCCTCTGACCTTGTATTTCCCGTGACTTGGTTGTTGGATCTGAGGCTTGATTTAATTTAGAGTTTTTTGGTAAAAACACATAGATAGTTCTATTTCCACTCAGTGGTCCATCATCACTCCTTCTGTGATGTTAATAGCCATTAAAGATTATTAACTATAAGATGGAGCACAATTGTTTCTTAAATCTTTTCTTCTTTTTTTTGAGAGACAGAGTTTCACTCTTGTTGCCCAGGCTGGAGTGCAGTGGCACGATGTCGGTTCACTACAACCTCCGCCTCCTGGGCCCAAGTGATTCTTCTGCCTTAGCCTCCCGAGTAACTGGGACTAAAGGCACCTGCCACCATGCCTGGCTAATTTTGTATTTTTAGTAGAGACGGGGTTTCACCATGTTGGCCAGGTTGGTCTCGAACTCCTGACCTCAGGTAATCCACCCACCTCGGCCTCCCAAAGTGCTGGGATTACAGGTGTGAGCCACCACACTCAGCCCTTAAATCTTAAATATTAAACATTAAGAATAGAATTGCATCAATGTATTTACGTATGTACTCCAGGTTCAAAAAGGATTTCAGGCAAATAAAACACAAAAGTACCCCCAGAAGCCCCATAGCCAACTCACAACCCTGGATCACCATTTCACCCTGTAAGCAGAAAGAAATGTCAGCCCAGAAAACTACCTGTTGACCCTCACAGGCTTTAGGCACTAGCGCTTCCTCCCAGTTAGAAGGGCATCAACAGCTGTGGCCATACTTGGGTCTAGGGAGCAGGGGTTGGGGCAGAGGCAAACACGGCAGCACACACCTGTGGATAAGGAGCAAACCAGAAGAAGCAGAGGCAGCCAGGAAGAGACCTGGAGAAAGGAGAAGGAGGGGAAGCAGTGAGCCTACAGAGTTGAGGAAGGCTTGAATCTTCAAGTACTGCTCAGCCAGTGCAGACAGGCAGAAGGTAAGGAAAAAGGTCTGTGATGCTGGGTGAAGGCAGTTCTTCGAGAACTCTGAGCAGAGGCTCTGTTGTAAGTCTGATAGGGGTACCTGAGTGGTTTGCACAGCCCCATCTCCCCTGTCCTTCCATGGTAGGGGCACGGAGGGTTGTTTTAGCTCACTCCATGGCAGTCCACAAGAGGGATGTGGATTTTTTCGATCTTCCCACCACTCACCCAGCCACTGCAGACTCTGCCTTCCCAATAGACTGTGCTAAAAGTTGATATAGCACCTCTTACTTGTCATATTCCAATTTCCCACCACCACCCAGAGGCCACTGAAGCTGATTGGAATGTAGAGGCTCTGTATGTCAGATAAAGCATAGAAGAGCAAAAGGCAGATTGATTTTTAGAAGGGAAACAACTGGAAATAAAAGGTTAGTGTTAATGGCCTACAGCTTTGAAAGACCTGGTGGAATGGTCCCTCAGCTTCTGCTACCTGCAAGTGCTAGGTAGGTACAAGGAGCCCCATGCCACATCCCAAAGAAAAGCATTGTCCTATGGCATAAGGCTGATTGGAATGATGATGGTGGTAGTGATGGTGATGGTGGTAGTGGTGATAGTAAAGATAGTCATGGTGGTGATATTGGTAGTGGTAATGATAGTGGTGGTAGTGGTGATGGTGATGATGGTAGTGGTAATGATGATGGTGATGGTGGTAATGGTGATGGTTGTGATGACGATAATGGTGGTGATGATAGTGGTGATGATGGTGGTGATGGTGGTTGGGGAGGTGGTGGTGGGGGTGATGGTGATGATGGGGGTGATGATGATGATGGTGATGGTGATGGTGATGATGATACTGGTGGTGGTGGTAATGGTGGTGATGGTAGTGATGGTGGTGATGATGATGGTGGTGGTGATGGTGGTGGTGATGATGGTGGTGGTGGTGGCAGTGGTTGTGGTGATGGTGGTAGTAGTGATGGTATTGTTGATGGTGATGGTAATGGTGGTGGTGATAGTAGTGATAGTGCTGATGATGGTGGCGATGATAGTGGTTGTGGTGATGGTGGTGGTAGTGATGGTATTGTTGATGGTGACAATAATGGTGGTGGTGGTGGTGATGGTGGTGATGATGATGGTGGTGGTAGTGGTTGTGGTGATGGTAGTGGTGGTGATGACAGTGTTGATGGTGATGGTAATGGTGGTGTGATGGTAGTGATGGTGGTGATGTTGGTGGCGGTGGTAGTGATTGTGGTGATGGTGGTGGTAGTGATGGTATTGTTGATGGTGACGTTAATGGTGGTGGTGGTGATGGTGGTGGTGGTGGTGATAGTGTTGATGGTGATGGTAATGGTGGTGGTGGTAATGGTGGTGATGGTGGTGATGGTGGTGGTGGTAGTGGTTGTGGTGATGGTGGTCATGGTGATGGTAGAGTTGATGGTAACGGTGGTGGTGATGGTAGTGATGGTGGTGATGATGGTGGTGGTGGTAGTGATGGTGGTGATGATGGTGGTGGTGGCAGTGGTTGTGGTGATGGTGGTGGTAGTGACGGTATTGTTGATGGTGATGGTAATGGTGGTGATGGTGGTGGTGGTGGTGGTGATGGTAGTGATGGTGGTGATGATGGTGGTGGTGGCAGTGGTTGTGGTGATGGTGGTGGTAGTGACGGTATTGTTGATGGTGATGGTAATGGTGGTGATGGTGGTGGTGGTGATGATGGTAGTGATGGTGGTGATGATGATAGTGGTGGTAGTGGTTGTGGTGATGGTGGTCATGGTCATGGTAGTGTTGATGGTGATGGTAATGGTGATTCTGGTGGTGATGGTAACAGTGATGATGGTGATGACAGTGTTGGTGGTGATGGTGGTGGTGGTAGTGGTTGTGGTAATGGTGGTGGTGGTGATGATGATGGTGGTAGTGTTGGTGGTGATGGTGGTGGTGATGGTGGTGGTGGTGTTGATGATATTGATTGAGCAGTCACCATATATCAGGAACAGTTGATATACATGTCTGTCACTGAAACCTCATAATAACTCATTATTGAACTTGTCCCTATCCTCCAGTGAGTGTCCTACAGGGGTCCTGTGGACTCATTAACCAGAGCAGGATCCCAGTCAGGATCAGGAGATTTGGGAAAGAGACGAAGATGTTGAGGCTATAACTGCTATGGAGTAAGGTGTTACAACTAGTCTTACAACTAATTACACAAGAACTTGGGCTACTGGGTGAGGTGCTCTGATCACATTACCATGAAGAGCAGTAGAGAGATATAGATGCTTTTCAGGTGCCTGGTCGACATGCTCCATTTGATATTTTGCCCACAGTTAGTGTGGAGTGGAAAAGCAAATGGGATTTCAAAAAACCTTGATCACCAGTCCTGAAGACCAGGAGACTTACTGAGGGCCACATGGATGGGGTAAGAAGAGTTTGCTTTGCTGGGAACTGTATTGTTCAACAGTCTCTGACTTTCTCTGGAGAGTTTGTGCTTCTGTGAGTGCCTGCACCAGTGTAGATACATTCACTCTGGCAGCCTCACCAGGCAGTCCACGTTCTCAGTTGGGAATGAAGACCTGCCTAAAATACAGACACCCTCAACATCATGTTCATACTGTACCCTCTCATTTGACATATTAAACCTTATTTCTTCTTGAAAAGCAGAAAAATGACCACTGGAGTGGTTGTTTGTATTTTTAGAAATCCATCGAGATGAAAGTAACCCACAGAGTCCAAAGTGGAGAATCCATAACTCAGACTCCAAGCCTGGAAAAAATCCTACCACCCCACCTGGCCAATCCCAGCCCAGCCCCTAAAAAGACATAAAATTTGTGTTAAATCACATCTAATGCTGCAATATTCCAGGGAGGCTGCCAATATTCTAGGGGCTATGTAGTTCCTGCACATGAGAGGCAACATTGTTGTACAAGGATGCAATAATGATGCAGGTCATGTTGGGGAGACAGTAGGGTAAACAATTGTTGAAAGGTATCCTCTTGATATGGGGTCCATGACAAAAAGGTGGAGTAGGGATGAACCCTAGAAGCATAGAGAACCCTGGAGGAGGTACAGCGATCTCATGGTATCTCACCCCATCCTTATCCAGAATATAAATGTCAGAAATGGAGGAATGACTCAGGATCATTACCCTAAAATGGAACCAGTGGAAACCCCTGTAGAGAAAATTTAGTGCTGTGATGAGGTGAGCCAGGTCCAATTCCTTGCCTTGAGCCCCTGAGCAGGCTCACAGGTGCCCTCTCTCACAGCAGGTACCCTCTGGGATCCTTCCTCCCAAGGTCACCCTCAGATTTGCCACAACAGCAGAGTATGTTTGGTGTCCACAGCAACCAGTGTGCTCAGCTGCAGGGGACTGAATGAACACAGCATTTTCCAAGTGTTAGATCTCCCCCAACCCCGGACACTGGGTAGGAAGACTTCCAGCAAAAGACTTCACCCTGATGACGAGGCTGCTGACACAAATGGATGTTTCAAAAAGAGCTTCTACCTGTCCTGTTGTGAACTGAGTTTCAGAGTTGGCTGCAGCTTCCCTGGGCTGGGGTCAGAGCAGCCTGTCAACATATGTCAGCCCTTGGTGATGAGCAATTCCATTCTCAATGAGGTAGTTTCAAATTGACTTCTACTGTGGTGGAGTCCCATGAAATAGGCACAAGTGTGGGGGGGCCCTACTCAGACAGCAGCATCCACCAATGAGCTGCAGGGGTCATTCCTCACTGCAAAAGCACAGACAGCATAGTCATTAATCAACTGCCAAAACACTGCAGGTTCTCCTGGGACCCAGATATTATTCTCTCCTTTTTAAGGAGGTTGATATTCGAGACAGTTACTGTAGAAAGGAGAAGACTAAATCCAGGCCATAGAATATCTAAGATTTTCTGGAATTTTCTCAGAAAAGGGCACATGAGATGTCAGGTTGGGATGACATCCAAGCAGACCCTGAGGCCTTGGTTCCGGAGATTGTACAGTTGCTGGTTAATCAAGTGCTAGAGATGGCCCTGGCACAGCATGGCCACAATGCCAGGACAGACTGATATTAAGACAAGTCATGTCCAGAAGGATCTCCTGTACTCATCACTGTTGCAGATACAAGTGAAGTTGGAGGCACTTTGAAAGTTAAATTTTGTAAATGCGTGCGTAGTAAGGAGATGGTGCAGGAATGAGGGAACTGAACCAGCCAGTCTCAGACAATGAACACAAACTTGAGGTTGTAATAATCCCTGTAAAAAAGTCAGACTTTCTTCATCATAAGCACATAAGATGTGAAGAGTACATCTAGCTAAGAGTTTGTTGGAGCCTTTTCCTCAGACCTTGACCTCATCCCAGGGGCTATGGTGGATATAAGGAATTTATCCTCAGTGTCCATCCCTAACACCCCCCAGTATGCCTGTATTCGTCTCTTTGTGCAGTTATAACAAAATACTGGAGCCGCGAGCAGTGGCTCACACCTGTAATCCCAGCACTTTGGGAGGCCAAAGTGGGGGATCACAAGGTGAGAAGTTCCAGACCAGCCTGACCAACATGGTGAAACCCCGTATCTACTAAAAATACAAATATGAGCCAGGTGTGGGGGCACACACCTGTAATCCCAGCTACTCAGGAAGCTGAGGCAGGAGAATCACTTGAACCTGGGAGGTGGAGGTTGCAGTAAGCCGAGATCACACCACTGCACTCCAGCCTGGGCAACAGAGCAAGACTCCATTAAAAAAAAAAAAAAAGTCTACTGTTGATAGCTATCTATCAACAGGAAGTTGATAAGCCATTGTGCCTTTGGAGGTCAAACAGATTGGTGAAGTTTTGACCTCCACAATGTCAGAGGTGGCCTTTGGACTACCAATCTTCCTGGCTGGCTGGAGTCTGTAGTTCTGTGGCAAATGCCAGCCCCCAGCTCTACAGGACTGCTCACAGGGTGCTCCCAGGGCCTGGAGCCTGCTCTTCCAGCCCTTCCTACAGTTTCATAAGCACTCCTTCACTTTCTTCATGTCGGTTCTGCTCAAAAGCTAGACTTGCTCGGAGAAGAAACATATTCATTCAGCAAGAATTCATATTGCTCTCTCTCTCAACATCCATGTCAAAGATGTTGGCTTTATTCTGAATGGGAACAGTCCTTGAAAGGCTGGGAGGAGAAAAGAGATGCTACTGGACTTATATTTTATTTTATTTTTTGTTTTTATTTTATTTTATTTATTTTTATTTTTATTATTTTTCTTTGAGACGGAGTTTCACTTTTGTTGCCCAGGCTGGAGTGCAATGACACCATCTTGGCTCACTGCAACCTTCGCCACCTGGGTTCAAGCGATTCTCCTGCTTCAGCCTCCTGGGTAGCTGGGATTACAGGCACCCGCCACCATGCCCAGCTAATTTTCTATTTTCATGTTTGTTTGTTTGTTTGTTTTGAGATGAAGTTTCGCTCTGTCGCCCAGGCTGGAGTGCAGTGGCACGATCTAGTCTCACTGCAACCTCAGCCTCCCGAGTTCAAGTGATTCTCCTGCCTCAGCCTCCTGAGTAGCTGGGATTACAGGAGTGTGCCACCATGCCTGGCTAATTTTTGTATTTTTAGTACAGATGGGGTTTCACCATGTTGGTCAGGCTAGTCTCGAACTCCTGACCTTGTGATCCATCTGCCTCAGCTTCCCAAAGCGCTGGGATTACAGGCCTGAGCCATCACGCCTGGCCTAATTTTGTATTTTTGGTAGAAATGGGGTTTCACCATGTTAGTCAGGCTGGTTTCAAACTCCTGACCTCAGGTGATCTGCCTATCTGGGCCTTCCAAAGTCTTTGGGTTACAAGCATGAGCCACTGTGCCCGGCCTTGGACTTATATTTTAAATGAATCATTCTGCAGCCATGTGGAGAATAGACTTATGTTTCTTAAGGCTAGAATCAGGGAAGCCAGTAAGGAGGCTTTGGCCAGGATTTAGGTGAGAGATGACCATATCTGGGATAGGCAGGATAGAATCAGTGCCTTGACAAAAGCCCAAATTCTCATGTGTTTGTTTTGAAAGGACCGGA